AGTACAAAAAAAAAAAACAAAAAAAAAAGCTGACAACTAAACTGCCTCCTTAATTAAAACAAACACTTTGTTTAAATCCTCACCAAGAATACTTTCCCATTGATTTTTAGAGGGAGTGGAAGAGAGAGGGAAAGACAGAGAGGAATATTGATGTGAGAGAAACATCGACTGGTTGCCTCCTGCATGAGCCTGACCAGGACCCAGACTGGGGAGGAGCCTGCAACCCAGGCACGTGCCCTTGACCGAATCGAACCCGAGCCCCTAGGGTCCACTGGCCGACGCTCTATCCACTGAGCCACACCAGCTGGGGCAACAGACACTTTTTTAAGCATAAGGAGTCATAGAATTTTAGAAATGGAAGGGTGCTTACTGATCACCTATCTGATCCATCTCCTCGTTTTATGGTTCTGGAAACTCCTGTAATAGGGCGAGTTTCCTGGAAGGCCCAGAGCAGGCCCAGAGGGACAAGGGTTCAGTCCATGGAGCACGTGAAGCCCCCCGGGAAACCCCTGTGCTTCACGAGCAAAGATGGAAGGGCTGGTCCAGCATAAAACACGTGACATTGAACGTAGAGGCTTTATTTACAATGAGACTCAAACAGGATGTAGCAAAAGATCCTCCTCCTCCATGTCTTCTCAGCATGGGCTGTACTTCATAAGCAAAACAGGAAAACATCCTCGGGCAGGGTGACTCCCTCCTCTGATGTGTCCCCTAAATCCCAAACAAGTCCGGTTCCCCAGCCCTGAGCAGGGTGGCTGGGGGGCGGGGGGCGTGGAGTCGGCAGCTGCGCCCCCTCCTGCAGCTCCTGGGGAGCGCGTCCAGGGCAGCTTCAGGCTTTCACCTCGCTCATGGCCTCCATGAGGCGAGCGCTGTTGGTGACTGCTGTCGTCAGGAAAATGAACCTGAACCCTGAGGAGCCAAAAGCACCAGCCAGGTGAGTACCAGCAGGTCAGTGGCTCCCGTCACCGGCCCCGCTGCCTAGAGCCCCTCCACAGCCCGGGCTGGATCCAAGAACCAGTTCACGGGCGCAGACACGTGGGTGCCACGCTCGGGGCTCAGCGACTGGCCACGCCCTGGAGCCGGGCTCCTGCTCTCCAGCCCACAGCCAGTGGTACCCAGAGGGCAGCAGAGGACCTTCCTGAGTGCTGCCCTTGGCAGCCCAGAGCCCGCCCGCGGACCGGCTGTCACCCTTCCGTCCTCGCTCACCTTTCTCTCTGCCCAGGAACCGCAGGGCTGAGATCTCGGAGAAGGTGCAGCCCCCCAGGAACACGACCAGGATGAGGCGCAGGGACTCGCTGGGAGCCTTGTCGTCCTTGGTCCCGCCTGTGGAGAGCAGACCAGATGCGGCTCTTTTTTTTTTTTTTTTTTGGTTTAATCCTCACGTGAGGATATTTTCCCATTGATTTTTAGGGAGATGGGAAGAGAGAGGAAAAGACTGAGAAAAACACACCAATTGGTTGCCTTCTGCATGAGCCCCAAATAGGGCCCGGGCCAGGGAGGAGCCTACAACTAAGGTACGTGCCCTTGACCGGAATCGAACTCAGGACCCTTGGATCTGTAGGCTGACGCTCTATCCACTGAGTCAAACCAGCTAGGGCCAGACTCAGCCCTTGCCTGGCACGCTGGCACCAGGGATGCGTCCAGCCGCCTCTGGCCCGCCCGGCCCCCGCTGCCAAGGCCACGCACCTGTGAAGGCCAGCTCGCTGCAGTTGAGCAGCCGAAGCACCTCGTCCAGGCCCTGCCAGCTCCTCCGCTCCAGCACCTGGGGGGGGCACGGGAGTGAGTTTCAGGTCTAAGACAGGATGGGGCTTCTTATTTATTTTTTTAAAATATTTTTACTGATTTCAGAGACGAAGGGAGAGGGAGAGAGAGATAGAAACATCCATGATGAGAGAGAATCATTGATCGGCTGCCTCCTGCACACCTGGGCATGTGCCCTTGACCGGAATTGAACCCAGAACCCTTCCGTCCCCAGGCCAACGCTCTATCCACTGAGCCAAACCGGGTAGGGCAACAGGATGGGGTTTAGGAAAGGAAGGTCCTAGCAGCCCAACCATCCCATTTCTTCCTAGTTAGCAGGGCAGTCAAAACTTGGGTCAGACCAGGGCCCAGGAGAAAGCAGAGAGAGACACGCGTGGGAGCGAGGGTCACGTGTTCTCACCTGCTCAATGACGCGGCAGCTGAGGGGCACATAAGCGCCACTGAAGACATACGCCATGTCGCGTGGCACCTTCAGATCGTACTCGCCATCCACACGCGGGATCTAGAGGGCAAAGCAAGTGACAACTCAGCTCTCCGGTCGTTCACGGTGTCAGAGAGAAGTGGCAGGTCCCCAAGAACGGTTCTTCCTTCAACTAAAGGGAGAAGCAGCCACGGCCCGAAAAGAAGAGTCTAAACAAGATTCCGGCTGCTGTTCAGCGCCCGATTTTCTTGACTGAGCTCCCACGCTCCCTGGGAAGTGCTGGAGGGAAGGGGCCCCCTCGCCGACGCCTGGTGACATGGGACGTGTCTGTCGCTGAAGCAGCACTAAGCCATCTCTGGCCTTGTCAGGCGCTTGTTACACATTTCCTAACAGAATGAATCTGTGTGCCTTATCTCATTGGTACGTGACACCCATGCTATCACGCTATGAAAGATAGAATCTTGTTTTGTAATCCTCACCCGAGGATATTTTCCCATTGATTTTTAAAGAGAGTGGGAGGGACGGGGAGAGAGAGAAACATCCATGTGAGGGACACATTGATTGGTCGCCTCTCACACAATCCCTGACGCGGGCCGGGGAGAAGCCTGCAACCAAGGTACGTGCCCTTAACCGGGAATAGAACCCGTGACCCTTCGGTCCGCAGGCCGACACTCTAACCACTGAACCAAACCGGCCAGGGTGGTAGGATCTTGATAGAAACAAAAGATGCAAAGGTTTTTGGGGACTCGAAGTACTCCACCACGGACCGAACCGGCACCCCCTACCCCCGTTCATCCCTGCTCCACGTACCAAATTCAGCTTCTTGCTGATGGCACGAAAATTGCTCCTCTTGGCCAGAGAGCTGAAGGCATCAGTGATCTTTCCTGGGGAAGAAAGCTGTGCTGGGTTTTATCGAAGGTCAATGGATTCATGAAACTGTCACATAGGATTCCATTCCGGAAATGACAGGCCCGCCTCTTGTCAAGTAGCCGGACCCATCACATCTCTCAGCTGTTCACCCATAATTCCCTGGACCTGATGAGATGTTCACCACCCTCTCCCCACCCCTCTACCTCCTCCTACAGCAGTGGTTCTCAACCTTCCTAATGCCGCGACCCTTTAATACAGTTCCTCATGTTGTGGTGACCCCCAATTTCATTGTTACAAATTGAACATAATTAAAGCATAGTGATTAATCACAAAAACAATATGTAATTATATATGTTTTCCGATGGTCTTAGGCGACCCCTGTGAAAGGGTTGTTCGACCCCCAAAGGGGTCGTGACCCACAGGTTGAGAACCGCTGTCCTACAGCATGCCAGCTCTCTACTGCCACCTACAGGGCAAACATGTAAGTGTACAGGCTGTGGGGTCACAGAGACCTGGGGTCCAATGTGACTTACTATTTGAGGGAACTTAGACAAGTCACTTATCCTCTCAGCCTCAGTTTCCTCATGTGTAAAATGGAGATAAAACTAACCTTTGTGAGGACTAAATGAGAAACCGTATCTAAAGGGCTTAGCACGTGGTGAGTGTCCAATAACCGTTAACAGCTCCCCCTTGCGGAAGTGGCGGTAATGACAGTAACAGTAGGAATGGCACTGTGCTTGCCGCTCATCTCTCTCCCAGGTGCTGCCTGTGCAGAGAAGAGGAGGATCCGGGTTCCCTGTGCTCCGTGCTCACCTGCAGCCTTGTCTGTCACCAGCTTGCTCACTTTGCTCTCCACAGCGGTGAGGGTGTCCCCGGGGGCCTGCTCCGTCAGGAGCCCCGCACGCCGCAGGTTGGAGAAGGTCAGCAGGTGCTCGGGGCCATAGCTCTGCAGGAAATGCAGGTGAGTCTTTACTGAGCGCCCAGCAGGGGTCTAGCACTGTTTGGTGGCATGGAGGCGAGGGAGGCGAGGGATGGGAGGGAGGCGCAGTCTATGCCTTATGGAGCTCATACTTGTTCCTGTGAAAGGTTTTCTTATCAGAAAGAACCAAACCCAGAAGAAAAACAACATGAAACTCTTAAAGCCCAGAGAAAGCTACTGATAGGAGGATGGTGGGGGAGGCTTCACAGATGAGATACGACGTGACAGAAAGACCTGGAAGGAAGCTTATCAATGCCTCACAAGGTGCTAAAGTGAGGGAGAGTGGGGGAGAGAACTCAGCCCCCGGTCCAATAGCTGAATTGTTCAGTGTTCCTGGCACCGGCCAGCACCGTGAGAAATGGGAGTGGGAAGGGTGTCTGCTGAAAGGTGACTGACTATCCTGAGAATCTCTGAGAGGGAGGCCAGATGGAGACAGATGGGGACAGGGACAGGAAAGGGCCACTGCTACTTTTGCCTCATTCAAAAATGCCCAATGAGCCCTAGCCGGTTTGGCTCAGTGGATAGAGTGTCAGCCCGAGGACTGAAAGGTCCCAGGTTCGATTCCGGTCAAGGGCACATGCCTGGGTTGCGGGCTCAATTCCCAGTAGCAGGTGGCAGCCGATCAATGATTCTCTCTCATCATTGATGTTTCTATCTCTCCCTCTCCCTCTCCCTTCCTCTCTGAAATCAATAAAAATATATTTTGCCCTGACTGGTTTGGCTCAGTGGATAGAGCATCGGCCTGCGGACTGAAGGGTCCCAGGTTCGATTCTGGTCAAGGTCATGTACCTTGGTTGCGGGCACATCCCCAGTGGGGGGTGTGCAGGAGGCAGCTGATCGATGTTTCTCTCTCATCGTTGTTTCTAACTCTCTATCCCTCTCCCTTCCTCTCTGTAAAAAATCAATAAAATATATTTTAAAAATATCTCACCTAATAATAGACAAACATGTAAATTGATCATCCCTCCGCTACACTCAACAGCCAATCAGGAGAGTAGGCAAATTAACCCAACCAAGATGGTGGTTAATTTGCATATGTAGGTGCGAACGGCGGAGCAAAGACTGAAGGCTCCAGCCGGAGCCGTGAAGACTGAAGGCTCTGGCCGGAGCAAAGGCCTGGGTCTCAGGTGCCGGAGGAAAACCGGTGCTGGCAGCCAGGGGAAGGGAAGGCCTATTGCACGAATCTCTTCGTGCAACAGGCCTCTAGTATATATATATATTTTTTAAATGTCCAATGAGCCCCCTCCATAAAGTTCCCTCACAAAGACATTCTTTTGAAACCCTGGCGGGGTAGCTGTTGGTTAGTGTCATCCCAATACATCAAGGTTGTGGGTTCGATCCCGGTCAGGACACATACAAGAAGCAACCAATGGATGCGTAAATAAGCGAAACAACAAATCGATGTTTCTCTCTGTCTTTCTCTCCCACCCGCTCTCCCACTCCTCTCTTGCTAAAATCAACACATTTAAAAAGACATTCTTCTGGCCTTACCTGTAGATACTGTGTTTTCAGGGATCGGTAATCCTTGGGGATCAAACCTGAGGATAAGGGAAGACAAGAAAGGTTCATGAGCCAGTTAAGGTGTCCTAAAACATACAACCAAACCAACCAACCAACCAACCCTCTTCCCCCAAGAAAACCTGAACCAGGAGGAATGATTCAGTAAACAATGATAACCTTGCACCCTCCACAGATGATTCTAAACTGACTCTTCGATGTAAGCTTGCTCACTGGAAGATAAAGCCTGGATCGGAGAGGCGAGGAAGCGCCCCGAGCCACGGGGGCTGGGAAGGGACACTGAAAGGAATGCTAACTGTGGCGGGAATGAGGTGGGAGGCAGCAGGAGGAGGAGGCGGGACTTCCGGGCATCTCTTCCTGGCTATGGGCCAGGACTAGGGGCCCCTCCTACAGATGCTGAGGAGCAGGAAGGGGTCACGTGGTTCCAAGGCCAGTCTTCGATGTGGTTCTCCACTGAGATAAGGAGAAATGGGCTTCCACACGCAATAAAGGGGCCCCAGAATCAGCAAAGCCCTTCTCTGGGTAGAGAGCTCCCTTCAAGAATATTCACCAGTTGGAAGCCTTCAACAGGAAAAACAAGCTGCCATTAAAGGTTGCAGAGTCGGGCTTTGGGAAATGTTTATGAAATTGGTTGGCTGTCCCTTCTACCTGGATTGCATCTTTTTAATTTTTTTTCTCTTTTTTAAAAAAATATATTTTATTGATTTTTTTACAGAGAGGAAGAGAGAGGGATAGAGAGTTAGAAACATCGATGAGAGAGAAACATCGATCAGCTGCCTTTTGCACACCTCTCGCTGGGGATGTGCCCGCAACCAAGGTACATGCCCTTGGCCGGAATCGAACCTGGGACCTTTCAGTCTGCAGGCCGACGCTCTATCCACTGAGCCAAACCGGTTAGGCTGGATTGCATCTTTTTTAAAAATTTAATACTAGAGGCCTGGTGCACGAAATTCGTGCATGGGTAGGGTCCCTAGGCCTGGCCGGTGATCAGGGTCGATCAGGTTTGCCACCTCCCGGCCTCCCTGCCTCCTCCTTCCCTCGCTCCCTCAGTGCCCTGCTGCCACTGCTGGTCGCCCCCATGTTCCGCGTTGCCCCCTGGTGGTTAGCACACGTCATAGGGAGAGATCAAACTCCTAGTCTCCTGCTCGAACTCCCAAGGGGACAATTTGCATATTAACCTTTTATTATATAGGATATTTTATTGATTTCAAAAAAGGGAGAGGGAGGGAGGGATAGAAACATCAATGATGAGAAAGAATCATCGATCAGCTGCCTCCTGCAGGTCCCACACTGGGGATCAAGCCTGCAACCCAGGCATGTGCCCTGACCAGGAATGGAACCGTGACCTCCAGGTTCATAGGTCGATGCTCAACCACTGAGCCACACTCACCGGCTGGACTGCATCTTTATTATGAAACCTTGTTGAAGGTAGGAGGCCTGCTGCATCAAAGAGAAGTTTCACTCTGCTCTATGCCTTTGTGATCCTAAGATGTGACAGCCCTTGTTCAGGGGGGTGGGGGGGGGGGGTCTGCATGTAGTCCTGCTTAGCCTGGGGACACTAATTTACCCTATGACCTGGGGATGATCACTCAAAAGAAAAACTGCTTTAATTCTACAGAGGAAAGAATCCACAAAATTACAGGAAACCTTAGCTGGTTTAGCTCAAGGCTAGAGCATCGGCCGGCGGACTCAAGAGTCCCGGGTTCGATTCTGGTCTAGGACACATTCCCGGGTTGCAGCTTGATCCCCAGTAGGGGGTGTCCAGGAAGCAGCTGATCAATGATTCTCTCTCATGATTGATGTTTCTATCTCTCTCTCCCTTTCCCTTTCCTCTCTGAAATCAATAAAAAATGTATTTAAAAAATTAATCCTTCAAAATTACAGGGAAGGGTCCTGTCCACTAGGACATTTACTCCTGTCGCTCACGATGATTTCTATCCTATGGTACAGTTTGGACCAGGCATCTCGGTGCTGGGGGCTCACCATTCTCGGTGATTGACAAGAGGCACATGAGGCGAAGGCTTTCTATAGGCGACACCTGCACAGGAAGGGAGAGCCAAGGAGGTTCAAGTTTCATAGCACACGTTCTCCCCCTCCCTTCCTCCTGGAGGCCGGCCCCACGCAAGCACCGCCCTGCCCGCCGGCCGGCAGCTGCCCACCTGCCGGTCGATGTGCTCCTCGATGTAGCTGGTGCTGTCCCGGATGCTGAAGCCCTCCAGCAGCGCTGCGAGCAACCAGAGGACAGCCTGTTACCGGGAGCCGCGCGGTGGCTGCCGTCTAGGCTAATAGGCGTCTGTCTCCCCATCTCCTTCTCCATCCGGGATAAGGGGCCCCCAGGCGTCTAACAGGAACCCGCGTTCCACGCAGCCAGCGTGGGCTGGGAAGAGCCAGAGCGCAGCTCCCCAGGGTGGGCGGGGCTGGGAGCCGGCCGGCCGGCAGTCACCATGCTCGGTCTTGATCAGCTCCTGGAAGTCCTGCTTGGTCTTCTTCTTCATGATGGACTCACAGGCCCCGATGTCTGCAGAGAGGACAAAGCCACCTGACACGTTCCTGGTTCCAGAAGGACATCCCTCTATTGTCCGGGAGAACAACGACCTCAAGGCAGAAGCACTTCTCCTCACTTTAGACCAGGGGTGGGGAACCGTTTTTCTGCCAAGGGCCATTTGGATATTTATTTTTATTTATTTATTTTAAAATATATTTTTATTGATTTCAGAGAGGGAGAGAGAGAGGGAGAGATAGAAACATCCTGCACGCCCCCTACTGGGGAACGAGCCCGCAACCTGGGCATGTGCCCTTGACCAGAATTGAACCCGGGACCCTTCAGTCCACAGGCCAATGCTCTATCCACTGAGCCAAACCAGCCAGGGCCCATCTGGATATTTATAACATCATTTGCAGGCCATACAAAATTATCAACTTAAAAATTAGCTTGCTCTAGCCCTAGCTGGTTTGGCTCAGTGGATAGTGTCGGCCTGTGGACTGAAGGGTCACAGGTTCAATTTTGGTCAAGGGCACATGCCTGGGTTGCAGGCTTGATCCCCAGTAGGGGGTGTGCAGGAGGCAGCTGATCAATGATTCTCTCTCATCATTGATGTTTCTATCTCTCTCCTTCTCCCTTCCTCTCTAAAATCATTATTTTAAAAAAATTAGCCTGCTCTATTTGGTCAAACAGTTAACTAACTCACCCCTAATGCCTGGGCAGGGCCAGACCAAATGATTTCACAGGCCTTATACGGCCCGCAGGCCAGACGTCCTCCACCCCTGCTTTAGACCAAACAAGAGCATCATCTTCGGGGTGAACAGGGATCTCCTCTCCGGAGGCAGATGTCCCATCACATCCCCCACCCCAGCTCCCAGCCCCCAGCCGAAACCTACGCAGACTCAGCAGGCGGTGCTCCTGCTTCAGGCCCTTCAGCTCCTGGGACACGAAGTTCTTCATCTGCTTGATGTCCATGCCTCGGCGGCGCTGCGGGCAGGTCCCAAGGTCACCACGGCCCTCCCAAGGTCACCACCGGCCTCCCTCGGCCCCCACCGGCCCCCCTCAGCCCCCACCGGCCCGGGAAGAAAGCCTGGGACCCTGTCGTAGCATCAGAGGGCTGGCCGAGGGGCAGCAGCCTTGGGAAGCCACCGAGGAAACAGAACCGAGGGCGGGGCTCAGAGCCTCACGTCATACTGGGCCTGCAGGTTCCGGGCCTTCTGGCTCAGGAAGCCAAAGACGTTGGAGAAGTGCTCATTCCGAATCTCATGAAACACCTGGGAGGGGAACAGGACGGGGTGGACTTCTGTACAGACCGGACCGGGTCCTTCCTTCCCGTCAAGGTCACGGCAGCACAGGAAGGGTGCTCAGCGGTTCCAGCAAGAGTGAGAGGAGAGGCCGAGACCGGTTTGGCTCAGTGGATAGAGCGTCGGCCTGCAGACTGAAAGGTCCCAGGTTCGATTCCGGTCAAGGGCATGTACCTTGGTTGCGGGCACATCCCCAGTAGGAGATGTGCAGGAGGCAGCTGGTCGATGTTTCTCTCTCATCGATGTTTCTAACTCTCTATCTCTCTCCCTTCCTCTCTGTAAAAAATCAATAAAATATATAAAAAATAAATTTAAAAAAAAGAGTGAGAGGAGAGGCTAGCGGCAGCAGGCAGTCCATATCAATGCCTGCTACGTGCCCTGGGGCACGAACTTTTTTTAAAGTTATCTTTTGAATGAATGAATGAATGAATGAATGAATTTAATTTTTTGTTAATCCTCTCTCGAGGGTATTTTTTCCATTGACTTTTAGGGAGAGTGAAAGGAAGGAGGAGAGACAGAGAAACATGGATGTGTGAGAGATGCCCTAACCCAGTGGTCGGCAAACTGCGGCTCGCGAGCCACATGCGGCTCTTTGGCCCCTTGAGTGTGGCCACGAAGTTTCAATCGCACTGTACGTGCGCACCCGCACGTGGTATTTTGTGGAAGAGCCACGCTCAAGGGGCCGCAGTTTGCTGACCACTGGCCTAACCCTCCCGCAGGTGGGGGATCAAGTCTGCACCGAGGCAGGTGCCCTTGACCAGAATCAAACCCGGAACCCTGCAGTCCGTAGGCAACACTCTATCCACTGAGCCAAACCGGCCAGGGCCTGGGGTACGCTCTTAACTGGTGGGGGTCCCTCTGTCCTGTGGACTCAGCTTCCCCTCCCAGGGCGGTGCCCCCGCTGTGTGGGAGCAGAGCCCGGGGAACCCCACTGCCGGCACCCACGCCCGCACCTTGTCCTCGGCGTTGAGCAGCACCTTCAGGCTCTTGTCAGAGGATGTGACTTCTGGGCCAAAGTCGACGCTCCCTTTGAGAGCAAGGGGACAGCGATGAGGGTCTCCCCCAGGCCTTCCCTCTCCTGCCCCTCCCAGATCTGCCATTAAAGGGCCTCCGCACGATGTGAAGCCGCAGTTCTCTCGGCGCCTGGGTGCCCCCCGCCAGCCCCGTGCCACGCAGGAGGCCCAGGAGCCGAGGGCCCCTCCATCTCGCCAGGATGCCACTCACCACACTTAATGCGGAACGTGTCGTCCACCAGGCCCTCGTAAACCACCTGGGAGCACAGTGCCGTCACAAAGTCCACGTCTGAAACCCAGAGCCCTGACCGTGAGGGCCCTGCCACAGCCTGCTGCCCGGGTCGCTCAGCATGAGCGCCAGTGCCCTCCCCAGGCCCGGGTGCCAGGCCCCCAACCAATGCTGCATGCACAGCCCAGCCTGAGGGTCCCGCCTGTGCCACCACGTTTTCCATATGCCCGTTGCTTCTGGGCCCAGAGAGAGAGGAGTGCCAGCGTGAGTTACCTCTGTCCAGGAGGAAGAGGTGGCCAATTTCTGGCTTCCGGCCTTTGGTTTCACTGTCCTCCTCCTCCTCCAGGTTCCTCCACAATTCATGTGACATCTGCCAGCGACCAAGACATTCTTTTTTTCCCCCCAAAAATTCTTAATTTTGTTTTGTTTTCATTATACTTTTAAAAACTATATATATATATTTTTAAAAATATATTTTAGTGATTTTTTACAGAGAGGAAGGGAGAGGGATAGAAAGTTAGAAACATCGATGAGAGAGAAACATCGATCAGCTGCCTCCTGCACACTCCCCACTGGGGATGTGCCCGCAACCAAGATACATGCCCTTGACTGGAATCGAACCCGGGACCCTTGTGTCTGCAGGCCGATGCTCTACCCACTGAGCCAAACCGGTTAGGGCTAAAAACTATATATGTTTTTTATTGATTTCAAGGAGAAGAAGGGAGATGGAAAAAGAGAGAGAAACATCAATGATGAGAGAGAATCATTGATGGGCTGCCTCCTGCACGCTCCCTACTGGGGACCGAGCCTGCAATCCGGGCGTGTGCCCTGACTGGGAATCAAACTGTAACTTCCTGGTTCATAGGTCGATGCTCAACGACTGAGCCAAAATTATACTTTCTTATTTTGAGATATTTATAGACTCACATGCAGTTGTAAGAAATACAAGACATTCTTGCCCTGACCAGGTAGCTCAGTTGGCTAGAGCATCGTCCCAATATGCCAAGGTTGTGGGTTCGACCAACGAATGCATAAATAAGCCAAGTACCAAAGAGATGTTTCTCTCTCTCAAATCAACAAACTAAAAAAAGAGAGACATTCTGAATCTTGTGTCCAAGTCCCTCCTGTAGCCCCACCCCTACAGAAGCCAACCCCTTTCCCTGGGACTTATTGATCCCAAGAGGGGAGCTAATAATTAACAACATTACCTACTCTGGCCCCATCTGTTCCTATCCCTCCCCGTCCATCCCCATTCCAAAGATAAAGAGATTCAGGAACACTGCCCGGCCGGTGTGGCTCAGTGGTTGAGCGTCGATCTATGAACGAGAAGGTCACGGTTTGATCCCGGTCAGGGCACATGCCTGGGTTTTGGACTCGATCCCCAGTGTGGGGCGTGCAGAAGGCAGCCGATCAATGATTCTCTCTCATCATCGATGTTTCTCTCTCTCTCTCCCCCTTCCTCTCTGAAATCAATAAAAATATACTTTAAACAAAAAGAGATTCAGCAAAAACAGATCCAGAGACAGAGAAGCATCGATCAGACCGTCAAATCTCAGAGGGAAGGTAGGGGAGGGGGAGAGACCGAAGGTCTTATATGCAAACACATAGGCCTAACCAATGGACACAGACAACAGGGGGGTGAGGGCATGAGTGGGGGGGTTGGGGGGGTAATATGGGGATAAGGACACATATGTAACAACTTAATCAATAAAAAATTTTAAAAAAAGAGAGATTCAGGAATGCTGCCCAAGAAGCCCTAGCTCGTGCGTCTCTGTTAGCCACACCAGCTCCCATCTCTGAGGACTATGTTGCCACAAGGAAAGCAAGGAAGAGAATATACCTCCTGTCACTGATGCCCCAGACAGTGGACAGTCCACGGTGGGGGAGAGCAGGTGCAACGGGCCCTGCCAGCGCTCACCTTGGCGCACCTGCCGATCCCGTAGCAGTTCGGAAAGGGGCCGTAGAGAGTGCTGAGGAGGTGCAAGGCCTGGGCCACAGTGTTGATCCAACGCTGGTCTCCTTCCTGCAGGGACCACAGGGGCCACAAAGACAGGGGTCAGTTGGACAGACCCATCAGGATGGCGCTAGCCCTGGAGCCCGGGGACAGAGGCAGGGCGTGGGGAATGCTTGAAAGAGTTCCTGTGACTGGCCCCAAAGGACACAATCAGTGGCATTCAATCTCCCAATCACTCTCATGCATAATAAATGACGGGACTGCCTGAGCCAGTTTGGCTCAGTGGCTAGAGCATCGGCCTGCAGACGAAACGGTCCCGGGTTCGATTCTGGTCAAGGGCACATGCTTGTGTTTTGGGCTCGATCCCCAGTAGGGGGCGTGCAGGAGGCAGTCGATCAATGATCTTTCTCATCATGGATGTTTCTATCTCTCTCTCCCTCTCCCTTCCTCTCTGAAATCAATAAAAAGATATTTAATAAATAAATAAAATATTTTTTAAAAAATTACGGGACTTGGATGAAGGTGCATCAATACTGCAAGCCCACTGGACCCCCCGTTTGTCCCCAGCCGTCGATGCCAAGACCCAAGGGGCCCGCCTTTACCAGGAAGTAGTCCCTGAAAAATTCAGGTAGCTCCATGCTCAGCAGATCCACGTCAAGAGGCAGCAAAGAGAAGGCCCATTCGTCGCAGCTCACATCTGTGGGGACAGAGACGTCAGCCTCCCTGCAGAAGGCCCGGGGCTCCACCTTCAGGGGGAAGGCCCACCGGTTGCCTAGAGATGTCTGAGCGCCTCCCCAGGGGGCGAGACACAGCCTGCCCCGCCCCCCCAGGAGTTCAGAGTCTGGTAACAAAAGGAGACGTGTACACGACAGCCCGTCATACGATGTGACAAGGGGTGTGTTTTCATTATAAGGAAACATTCATTCCTGACTCGGCAAATACCAATGGAGTGGCAGGCGTGTGCAGGCACTGGGGTACACAGTGGGGAAGAGAATGAATGTGCCCCGTGTCCTGGGGAGACCCTTACAGTCTAGTGCAGTGGTTCTCAACCTTCTGGCCCTTTCAATACAGCTCCTCATGTTGGGACCCAACCATAACATCATTTTCGTTGCTACTTCATCACTGTCATGTTGCTACTGTGATGAATCGTCATGTAAATATCTGATATGCAGGATGGTCTTAGGCGACCCCTGTGAAAGGGTCATTCGACCGCCAAAGGGGTCGCGACCCACAGGTTGAGAACCGCTGGTCTAGTGGGAGAGACACGCTCCAGGCAGATCTAATTACAGTTGTGCCCCAAGCCATCCATGAGCACAAACATCGCAGGGTCTAACCTCACACAGGGATGCAGGACAGACTTCCCTAAAGCAGTGACTTTTAGGCTGTGACTGTAAATAAGATGTGGGTGGGTGCAGAGTGTGGGTGGGAATATTCTGGGCAGCAGGAAGAGCACTTGTGACGTCCCCATGGCTGGAGGGCAGTGAGTCAGGAGAAAGGAGCGCACGTGACAGGCAAGGGGCCGGGAAGGGACCAGGAGGCAGAGGTGGGGACCCGGGCTTTCTCCTGGCCACTGAAGGCGCCTGAGGGGCTGCCGCCCGCAGGTGGGTGTTGCGTGGAGAACGCAGTGAGCGATACACAGGGGAGGGAAGGCACATTATTTCCCTGTGGGAGTCTCGGGGGTAAGGACAGAGCAGTTGGCGGTTAGCAGCGATAAGCCCTCGCATCCTCTCCCGCTGTCCCCCTGCTTCCCTGCTCAGGCACCTCTCCTCCCGCTGGGCCAGCAGGAATGAGACAGGAAGGGGAGGGGAGGGGGCGGGGCGGGGGAGGACACTGTTCCTTCTGCATATGCGGCCCCTTTCCACTCTCTCATTTCCTCTCACCTCCATAGATCCCCTCTTCCTCAAGCACCATCTCACAGGCATAAAACTGAAAGAGAAAAGGAAGCCGGTTAGCAAACACCCCTCCTCTCTTCTTTCCATCCCTGGAGTTCCTCCAGGATCACTGACAGGACAACACTGACTGGCCCAGTAAGAGAACCCAGACGCTTGGATCTAAAAAGGGCACCGGGCCCAGCCGACATGGCTCAGTGGTTGAGCGTCAACCTATGAACCAGGAGGTCACGGTTCAATTCCCGGTCAGGGCACAGGCCCGGGTTGCAGGCTTGATCCCCAGTAGGGGGTGTGCAGGAGGCAGCCGATCCATGATTCTCTCTGACCATTGATGTTTCTCTCTTTCTCTCCCTCTCCCTTCCTCTCGCACTGGAATCACGGAGCCCAACTCTTTGCTCCCTGGAAGAGCTGTGCAAAGGAGAAGGCGCCGCAGCTGTCACGGAAGGGCCATGCAGAGGCCGGCTTCACGTCCCACCATCTGTACTCGGGCGGCTTGCCCACAGACCCCCGGCTACACAATCAGGCCTACGCTAATGAGGCAGCAGCAGGTGGTCGTCACCGCACATCTACTTTCAGGGAGCTGGAGCTGGGGGCCCCTGGCCTCTTCCCCGCCCCGAACCCTGTCCTGCCCGATGCCACTGCCATCGGGACCCAATCTCACCTTCTGAGGGCTGAAGATCACTTTGTATTTTCGCGTTCGGCCGGCCAACTTGTCAGCATTGACGAGATCTGCAGACAGAGGGAACGCGACCCAGAAAGCCGTGGGCCACGTGTCAGGTGAGAAGCAAGGGAGCAGTTACCCTTTTATTTATTTATTTATACATTTTTTAAATATATTTTTATTGGTTTCAGAGAGGAAGGGAGAGGGAAACAAACATCAATGATGAGAGAGAATCATTGACCGGCTGCCTCCTGCACGCCCCCTACTGGGGATGGAGCCCGCAACCCAGGCATGTGCCCTTGACCGGATTCGAACCTGGGACCCTTCAGTCTGCAGGCCGGGGCTCTATCCACTGAGCCACACCCGCTAGGGCTCCTTTTTTTTTTTTTTTTTTATTCTTTATTGTTAGAAGTATTACATGTTTCCCTTTCCCCCCATTGACCTCTCCCCGCCTGATCCTGCCCCCCAGCACAGGCCCTCACCTCCCTACTGACTGTGTCCACGGGAGCAGCTGTCCTCGACGTGGCATGGCCAACCCCAACGCCTCTTCACTTACGAAAGGGTCCCTGTGCCCGAGGCCCTTAGATCTCACCCCCCACCCCCCCCAGGTCTCAGTGACACGGCGCGCCACGCTATACTCACTGGCTATGTATCGCATGTTCTTGATGCGGGGTCTGACCAAGAAACACAATCTATGGGAGAGAAAGGGGAGAAACTCAGCGAAGGGAAGTCATGAGGTTGGTGACAGCACCACCTGAAGAAACTGAAACAACACCCCACTCTTTCACCATCTGCTCCTCTCGACCGGCCGACCGTTCCCAGCCTCGCCACAGCCGGGCCTGCTCTGACCACAGACTCCCCTCCCGACATCCGGGACACTGTGCTCAGCATGTGGCCCCTCTGGGGTACCTGGAGTTCCTGTTCTCAAATAATTTACAATCTGTCAGGTGAAATAATATGCACACATGTATAAAGTATCAAACACGTGTTTAAAAACAATACAGAAAGTTGTCTGGACAGCATGGCTCAGTGGTTGAGCATCGAACTAGGAACCTGGAGGTCACAGTTCGATTGCTGGTCAGGGCACTTGCCTGGGGTGCAGGCTCAAGTGTGGGATGTGCAGGAGGCAGCCAGTCAATGATTCTCTCTCATCATTGATGTTTCTGTCTCCCTCTCCTTCTCCCTTCCTCTCTGAAATCAATAAAAATATATATTTTAAAAATACAAGAAGGTATATAAAATGTTTTTCTAACTTGGATGTATTCTCCATGTACCCAGGATAATTTTTCCACTAAGGGAGGGTGTACATTACTTAAAATTGAAAAGTATTGCCCTAACCGGTGTGGCTCAGTGGATAGAGCGTCGGCCTGCGGACTGAAGGGTCCCAGGTTTGATTCCGGTCAAGGGCATGTACCTTGGTTGCGGGCACATCCCCAGTAGGAGGCGTGCAGGAGGCAGCTGATCGATGTTTCTCTCATCGATGTTTCTAACTCTCTACCCCTCTCCCTTCCTCTCTGTAAAAAATCAATAAAATATATTTTTTTAAAAAAAGATTGAAAAGTATTAAAAAGAAAAACAGTCCTGGCTGGTGTTGCTCGGTGGTTAGAGTGTCGGGCCCAGGCACCAAAGCATCTGAGGTTCGATTCCCGGTCAAGGGCATGTACCCAGGTTGCCGGTTCGATCCCAGACCCTGGTCAGGGCTCATGCAAGGAGGCAATCAATCGATGTGTCTCTCTCACATGGATGTTTTACTCTCTCTCTCCTCTGTCTCTCTGTCCTTCCCTCCCTCCTTTCCACTCTCTCTGAAAAAGCAATGGAAAAAATATGCTCTGGTGAGGATTTAACTAAAAGAGAAAAGAGCAGAAACCGGTTTGGCTCGGTGGATAGAGCGTCGGCCTGCGGACTGAAGGAGGGGGTTCGATTCCGGTCGGGGGCATGTGCCTTGGTTGCGGGCACATCCCCAGTAGGAGATGTGTAGGAGGCGGCTGATCGATGTTTCTCTCTCATCGATGTTTCTGGCTCTCTATCTCTCTCCCTTCCTCTCTGTAAAAAAATCAATAAAATATATTTTTTAAAAAAATAAAAAATAAATAAAAAAAGAAAAAGAAAAGAAAAACAGCCGAAGCTGGTTTGGCTCAGTGGATAGAGCGTCGGCCTGCGGACTGAAAGGTCCCAGGTTCGATTCCGGTCAAGGGCATGTACCTGGGTTGCGGGCACATCCCCAGTGGGAGATGTGCAGGAGGCAGCTGATCGATGTTTCTCTCTCATCGATGTTTCTAACTCTCTATCTCTCTCCCTTCCTCTCTGTAAAGAATCAATAAAATATATTAAAAAAAAAAAAAAAGAAAAACAAAAAGCAGACAACAGGCAGTGAGTGTGGGACAAATACTAAACACCCTGGAGATCCAGGGGAGGAAGGCTTCATGGAGGAGGCAGCACTGGGGTCTGAGGGCTGGGTATGTCTTACAGGAGCAGTGAGGACAGGAGGGAATTTCAAGGCAGAGTGAATGGAGTGGCCAGAAGGGGGATGCCACGTGCAGGTAGCTGGGAAGCATGTGAAAGCACGTGTCCAGCGGAGGCTTGAGGGCCCCGTGAGAGACCAGGCTGCAAAGGCAGCGTGAGGCCCAACTGAGGATTCCCTCGGCTTCCACGGTGAGCAATCTGCACTTGACTCGGTAAGAGAAGACTTGATGGTTCCTGAGAAGAGCACGGTGAAAAATATATATATATATTTAAATATATTTTTATTGATTTCAGAGAGGAAGAGAGTGGGAGAGAGAGAGAAACATCAATGATGAGAGAGAATCACTGATCAGCTGCCTCCTGCCTCCTGCACGCCCCCTACTGGGGATCGAGCCCAAAACCCAGGCATGTGCCCTGACTGGGAATCGAACCGTGACCTCCTGGTTCATAGGTCGACGCTCAACCACTGAGCCACACCAGCCGGGCAATGAAAACATTTTTGAAAGCTTCATCAATCAGACGGATGAGAGAGAAGAAGACAAGGGAGGGAGAAACTGCAGAAAGGAAGACGGAACAAGGGGCTAAAGCAAAACCTCGCATGCAACTGCTCAAGAGCAGGGAGGGGAACCGTATCACAAGCATCACGCTGCCAGATCTCAGCCACGACGCATCAAGGGCAAAGTGCAGGGACGTCCCCCGGCTTGGAGGCGAGCCGGACGCCCCAGACACTCACTGTTCACTGGAGCTCAGGACTGGCTTGTTCTCCACCTTGTACAGCTTGTCTACTTCGTGTTGCTGCCGAGAGAAGCCAACAAGACAAGGGACACAGAGTGCTTGGAAACCCACAGCATGACCCAAAAGCAGGGACTTGGGCTCCTCGTCATGCTAATTCTGGGGATCAAACTGCCTCCCTGACAACCATTCACTGAACCTTCCCCAAACTGTCAACAGAAAAACCAAAAATAAAACAATTCAAAAACAATAGATAATACCATCCATTCCAACTACCCTCTATTTACCCTACAATGGTAGTCACCCTTTAATAATTTGTACTGTTCTCCAAAGGAAAAACTGGCCAGACTGGCGTGGCTCGGTGGTTGAACATCGACCTATGAACCAGGAGGTCAGGGCTCGATTTCTGGTCAGGACACATGCCCGGGTTGTGGGCTCAATCCCCAGAGGGGGACTTGCAGGAGGCAGCCGATCGATGATTCTCTCTCATCGTTGATGTTTCTATCTCTCCCTCCCTCTCCTTCCTCTCTGAAATCAATAAAAATATATTTTAAGCCGATCTGGTTTGGCTCAGTGGATAGAGCGTCGGCCTGCGGACTCAGGGGTCCCAGGTTCGATTCCGGTCAAGGGCATGTACCTTGGTTGCGGGCACATCCCCACTGGGGGGCGTGCAGGAGGCAGCTGATCGATCTGATCTCTCTCATCGATGTTTCTGGCTCTCTATCCCTCTCCCTTCTTCTCTGTAAAAAATCAATAAAATATATTTTTTAAAAATATATATATATTTTTAAAAAGAAAGAAAAACTGCTTAATGAGGAAAGAATCTGCCTGGAGGAAAGGGCAGGTACCTTTAGGATGGAGACGCTGGCGATTCGATCCAAAGGGCTCATGAGATCGGCCTCAATGAACAAGTCCTTTTTTCCTGGAAGCTGAAGACACACAGTAAGTAGTATCCTGGGTCACTCCTAGGTCACACACGCTCCCTCGCTGACAGCTCCCGCGCCACATGTCTACCAGAACCCCAGTCTCGGACCTGGAAGG